CACGATCATCAGAAAATTTTAATAAAATGTAATTATATAACTGTCAAATTATTTCAATCCCTGACCTAAAATGAACCTTCCATAAACCCATTAATCTATGTGGTCTGGAAAGCCTTAGGACCAGCCCACTGTGTTTAAACCTCCCCCAGATACTCTTCCTCTTCACAGGGAAGATGCTCAGCCTGATTTGCCACATGCAGGCCATAAATGAGCATATAACCAAACACTGCAAACAGAAAACTCTAGTCCTTCTGTTTGAGCTCATCACCAAGGAAATGAACCGCCCAAAATATGCTGTACCTGGTCCCTCACAGACCCTCCTAGGTGCTGTTTCAGGAATATTGGGAGATGGAAGTAGACATTGATGTGTTTGCCTCGCTGTTGATCTCTGTGCTGGGAGTGTTAGTTCGTTTGAGCTTCGTTTTAGCTGTTGTGCTCTGCTCAGAAGTGATGTGTGAAGCACCAGTGTTTCCATAACAACAACAACAACAACTGATCAGGTTTTCTACTTATGATTTCCTGTGGTTTCCATGACTGTTGTGAGACTGTACCCCCTTCATGGGTACTTCTCATTGCCCCAGTGAGCTAAGCGTCCTTCCCAGATCGGCTGGGGGAACGTAGGAAGAAATTACATATAAAAAAAAGAATAGAACAGCCTCTTCTGTGGGACGAAGTTGACCTCACAACAAACACAGACATCAGCTGGGCAACTGGTTCAATTTTTCCGAGTGGGTTCCCCCTTTATTCCCCACTTCCACACACGTCCACCAGTGATGACTTGCCCTGGATGTAAGCAGGGCCACAGCCCTACATCTGCCTCTTGTCACACTTTCTGCAGTTGAGAGAGACGCAGTTCGTACTGGCAACAGAGCCTGGCCTGTCTGTGTGCGGCGAGAGGATTTATTTTAATTTGCCTTGTGTTAGTTGATACAGATGCAACTGGTACAATTCAATTCAAATGAAACTCAGTGGGGAAGCACTTGCAAAGCTGAGATGCCAGGGCGAAAGGTTTGTCAGCCGGGTCCTTCCCTGCCTGGGCTCCTCATGCCTTGGGGCCTGGCAGGAGCCCTCACCAGCCCCAGTTCTTCCCTCCCGACAAACCTGCCGGGTCGCACTTCCTCCTCACAGACCTGCTTCAAAACAACAGGCCCTGCAAAACTTAACCTCTACAGGAAAGCAGGGTAGCTCCTGGTATAAAAAAGACTTCCTTTTTTGAGTAGAACAGTTGATATTGTATTTCTTCAGTACATTGCCTAGTAAGTCTAGAAAATAGCTTTACTGTGACTTTTATAATCATCTCTGCACTCTTGCACTGCAGTTCAGAGTCTCATTAGAAGTTAAATTATTTATGAAATTAATTACATCTTTTTTTGTATATATAATAGACCATTGTGTGAAAAAGCTGCAGTAACAGTTGAGAGGTTCACCTGTGAAATCACCTTTGCATTGAACCTGATGTAGAACATAGCCTGAAGTCAAAACAATAAAGATTAAGGAAGCATTTTTGTTTGTAACGGGCTGTTTATCTTAAGCAATTCCATAGCTCCCACTGCTGTAGCATCTGACCATAATCACGGGTGCTGCAGAGGCAGGGATGTGGTAACAAGAAGTCCACAGCAGGGCAGGGAGTCAAATCTTGCCGTCTCATGTCCAAGGCCTGCATCATATTTGCCGGCCCATATCTCCAGCTCACCTTCGCTTTTAAATCTGAGCTGTGAGAATCCACAAGCCCTGAGCTCATCCCACAGCTGAGAACGAACAAGCACTTCACACTTTGAGCATTTTTTTTTTTTTTAAATCCTAAGCACCTTAGGAGCCCATGAAACATTTTCAGAATTGACTTGGCCACTTGAGTTTGATTTAAAGCTGTCCGAGGAAAGAGATTTGCTCCCACTCAACTCTGGGCTCTTTGGAGCCTGTCCCAAAACCCAGCGCCTCCTTTGAAAGTCTTCTTCATTCCCCCTTCCCTGGTGGGTAAGGCAAAGCCCGCAAATGGTGCCAGTAAGCACCTACCTACCTCTTGGCCAGAAATAGCTGCATTTCACAAGGTTTTAACAGGAGTGTTGAGCAGCAGGTTGGAGAAAAACAAAATAGAAGGAAAAGACAATGACAAGAATTTCAGAGGAAAAGCAAACAATGAGTACAAGAACATATAATGAGACTAAGAAGCTCCATATTTGTGACAGAAGGGGAAGGATTTTCTTGGTTAGTGGTCTTTTTGAAACAACAACAAAAAAATGAATGTTGCTCAGATCTCTGCCTATAACCCTATTAACATGAAACTCAGCTGATATCACAGACATACTCCCTGTTAACATGGGAATTACCTACCTGTTTAAGACGATGCTAGAGAAGACAGGCAACATCTGCTATATTTGTACAGCAGCCCAGCAGAATGTGAATCCATTAGCAACTGCCCTGCACCGGCTATCAGAACTAATTTGTATTTTCATCTCACTAATATTTTCCAAAAAGTATTATCAGAGGATAGAAAACTTCTGCTAAGAAGCACATTTTAATGGAGGCTTTAAGCAACTTTGCCTTAAACTATTACGGAGTTTGTGGACGATATAAAACCAAAAGTTGTAATGAAAAAAAATATACCGGTTTTAGCCCAGGCCACGTTACAAAGAAAATTCAAAAAAAAAAGTAGCACAACCATGAAACTTTTAATATAGTGCTATCACTGCTACATTTAATAAGGGAAAACGGAGATTAAGTCACTGATACACTGGACAGGAGGAAAGAGAGATTAAAATTTATAACTGTTATGAGGAACAATTTACATTTTCCTGAAACACAGCACACCCTGCACTCTGTTCTTATGAAGTTTGAGGAACTTGGGGGAGGAGTGAATGGTGCTCTTTCTCTGCTGGCTGGGGAAGATCCGCCGCTTTTAGGGTTTCTTTACATATTTTACATTGCAATAGGTGCTAAAGAAACTGCTGCCTGTCTGAAAGTTTACTGATGTTAAGAGCAGGGAGTTGTTGCTTAGGGCATACCTTGTCAGGGTGAATTATAGGGAGGAGGTGCAGCGGTGTCCTTAGGTACGTCTTAGAGATCAGGGGTCTGTATTGAGTGATCTTCTGTGATGCAAATATACTTTTCAGATTTTAATCATAAAGACGGTTTCCATTCATGGTGCAGATCAAATAAAGGAGATAATGGCTCACTGAAGTAAACCGAGCAAATACATTTCCCTCTTGCTAATGGGTGTAATAGAACCTTATGAATGCAAAAATAATTGCTGATCTTGTGATTTGAGGGGCAAGCTGTACTCTTTCGCCACATTGTGCAATATCCTGTAAGTTTTCATTTTAAAAGACTTATTATTGCAAAGCTAAAACTACCATCCTGCAATGGATATATTTCTGCCCTGGTAATCAAGCTTGGTGATACAGTGTGTCCAGCCAAACAATATTAAGAACAAAGATGCTTTCCTTTAAGGAAAGTGTTAGCTTCAAAGCTAAGCAAGGATTATAGTCATGCTGACTTGACTAAGCACAGAAGAGAAGTTTAGGGAAGAAGAGCCATAAAGAACTGGCATGGCCAGATTCTCAGCTGGCATTAATCACCCTAATTAGTCACCCTAGCTCTGGTCTGTGGAGTATGTCTGATTTAGTCTCGCTAAAGACCAAGACTCTGAAAGTAAATATACCAAATGTACCCATTCTAAAAGTCAGATTGCATTATTTCAGAGGAAGTCCAGGAACGCAAAAGCTGAAGCTTCCAGGGTAGCACTGGCTTGCTGTTGTGTCCTACCCCCGTGTGTTGGACTGTGCAGTGAGTAGCTGTACAAAAGAGGAGGCACAGAGAATCTCGTGAAGGTGTGGTCTGGCACAGTTAGGATTCACATCAAAATTAACTTTTGTAATCCTCATTATGTTTTTTTCTTTAACTGTTCAAAGCTGGTGCTGAAGTGGGGGCAGGGAGGGCTTCCTGGAAGTGCCAGAAGGAAGGGGGTTCGCTGAAATGTGTTCTTGCGTCTGCCCTTCTATTTCATACCAAGAGAGGGTTTACCCTGAAGGGTGGGTGGATAGAAAGAAAGCACAAACAGCAAATATGCCGTGAAAGGGCTGTTCTACTTGGCCTCATAGGAAAGTGGCAGGAAGAATTCATATGCCTTCACGACTTTCTTTAAGTCAAACCTAGATGCTGGAAGACATGATTGCCTGGACAAGAGGCAACCATGCAGCATCCTGTTTAGCCAACTTTGCGAGGTTAGGATTTTGTTGTTTTGGGCTTTTTTCCTCAAAACCTGTACTCCAGAAGCAATTGCAAGAGAACCTCAGATTGCCTTTGAGAGAGAAATGACCAGGGTCTTTTTACCTTGTAACTGCAGAGAAAGAGCTGAAAAACAAGACACCAAAAGATCCTTCAAACAAAAGTCAAGTTAGAAGAGCGGAGTGTATCTACTTGCTTTAGTATTCACAGTGTTTAAGCCAGTTGCCAGTTCTCGAGCTTCACTGCTCATTTTTGCTACCTGCGCTGCCTCGTGCGTGCCCTTCTGCACCTGAAAGCAGGCACGGACTCTGGAGGTGGCTGAGCAATAAATAGCATTTTACACGCAGCCGGCTGGCTTTGCTCCACTAGCAAACATGAGAGAATTCCAATGGTAATTAGTAACAATTCACCTGCTCAGCGGAGCCACTCCTAAAACCGAGGACACTCATGCAAGCAAGTGCTCTTAGGACCAGGAGACGGACAAACCTGTGTCCCTTTCGAAAGCGGTTTCTGGACCTAGCACAGGAGCTGGGAATGTCAATTGTTTAATGTGGATTGGATATAATTCTTTACAATGTATTCTGCCTAGCATCAAACTCATCACCAAACAGCATGTTTTTGCTTGGAGACAAATTTACTTTTTTACTAAACTAAATTTAAAACACAGACCAGGATTAAATTAGTTTGAAACTATATATAGACCTAAGCTGTATTTCAAAAGGTTTTTAAATACAGACATACTGAATATAGGAAACACATAAGAAATGCTCACTTACCCAAAATGCATCTTTAAACTGTAGCTGTGCCATTATTATTGCTCTGTGGAGAGGAAGGAATCCTTCAGCAAGTTTGTTCTCAGCTGAGAGCAGCGGCAGCAGTGGCAACACTGAGCTTTGCTGCTCCAGCCCAGCCAAAGCGGAAAGTGAAGCACATCCACAGACCTGCCTCTTCTGAAGTCAAGCTTGTGTAAAATAGCATTGGGCAGTTTCAGGCAACTCAGCGTAATGACCTATGGCTGTGAAGGGACAGAAGGGAAAAAAGCTCTTGCTCGCACACAGAGACATGCACATACTCAGGACGCTAACCCCAAACCTGTTTCTCTTCTAGTAAGCAGTTAATATTGAAATGAGGAAGCAAGGAGATGTTGAATGATGTCAGGCTGCTCTTTGCCATGTATGCATGTAAGTGGCTGGGGAAAATAAAAAAAAAAAAAAAAAAAAAAAAAGTAAAATCCGGTGGTATGATTTGATCAGCTACAGGAGGAGAGAGAACAATTAAAATGCAAAGGAAACCAGTACAATGCAGAGAGATAAGCTGTGGAGGAAATTAGAGTCAAACTGTCATATAGTGCTGTGGTCTTACGAAGAAAAAGAAGCGTAAGCAATGTATGTGCCACATTTTTCCAGTGCCTTCTGGGGCTGGCAAAGGCCCACGCATTTGCACATGGGAAGTGTAGCTCAAAGTTGCATTTTGCAACTGAAAAGGTTTTTCAAGACTCTGGTTAAATTAAGAACACTGTAAAGTGTGCAGGTGTCTGCACGCTTTTAGATACCTCTGCGTCTACATAGAGAAAATCTCTGATTTGCATGCCCTCATGTAAATATTTATATGAATAAGCAAGATATGTGAAATTTAGAAGCAAAATCAAAACTCTTGAAAAAACTTGTGAGAGCTAAGAGTTTATTGGCACCAGGACCTGAAGTGAAGCTTCACAGCCCTCTGAACCGGCAGTGCGCCCGGCACCACACCCAGCACACCGCTTACCTCAAGTATTTCAGATGGCTCCTTAAATAACATCACTGACCTGTTCAGTGCTGCTGCTAATAATGGATAGTAAGGTAATATGTTTAACACTTCTATGAAACCCCCTTCGGAATACCTGTCCTGCAAGTGATGTTGCCTCTGTTCACCTCCTTAGAATGTTTTAAGGATTCTGTGTTTTTAAATACTCACTGACGTTTTCAGAAGGTAGGAAAAAACAAGAGGAAAAAACTCCTGCCGTGGTTGCCGATGCAAAACTGTGTCCTTCCACACCAAGAACACATCAGGACTGACTTAGCCATAACTAATTAACGTTGCTCCTGGTGCCTGGGGGTTGCTTTCTTCTTACTGTTCTTGCAGCACTAGCAGATTATTTATTTAGTGGTGAGGAAGTCTGGCAACTTCACTGACCTCCAGCAGGGCACAGAGATCTGCTTAAAGAGATCTGCAGCAGTTGGTGGCTAGCGATACCAGTAGTCACTCCATGAGCAACTTGTAGCTGGTATTTTAGAGAAGCAGCAAGTTTCCTTCCTGGTGGTCTGAAGAAGACAGGGAATGTGCAAAGACTTTGAAAGGGAAAAAGAAGTGCAAGCAAAGGAGGGCAAAAGAGGGTTTGCAGGGCCAGAGGTGTAAAACTGCTTTGATTGCTGTGAGCAGCAGGAAAAGAGCATCATTGTGCGAGAGGGGGAAAAGGAGAGATGTGAGGATTCACTCGCAGAGGGTGCTGAGGAGGAATGAGTGAAGCTTTCTTCCAGAAGGGAAAATTCCCTCCGTGAAGAATTGTACTTCGAGGGCATGGGCATGAGTCATAATACTTATCTGTAAGCAAAAAAACCAAACCAAAACAAAACAAAACTATCTTTTAAAAATGTTTTATCACAGTCTTTTTAAAACTAAATGTTTCCTCTTACTATTTCCAAATTACAGCTTTGTTTTGAAACGATAGCTTTGCTGCTGTTGAGGTTCATAAAAATTCATTGAGTGCATTTTGGCCCTCCAAAATGATATGCTGCTTTCCCATTAGTTTCTCCTCCAAGCAAAAAAGCCAGTTATTTGATTGAATCTCGTGCTGAGCTCTGTGCCTGTGTCTGTCCCAGCCAACGGTACTGGTGTGGCACAGCCACCTCCCTTAGGAGCAGCCAGGGATGTCTCTCTGTATACCATAAGCACGGGCAGTTAGCTTCGCACTGTGGATGGGTTTATCTCTTATTGTTGGCTACAAATGATCCTAGACCAACGGTGCTCCTAGTTCAGGTATTTTGATGAGCTGTCAGAAATTAGCTGGTGCGAGTGGTAGCCCCTGGCTCTGATGAAGCAGAGCTGCTGGGCAGACGCTTGATTTGGAGCCGTAACTGCTCACGCGTCCCGGTGTTCCTGGATTATGTCCAGAGGGTGCTGCGCCTTGCAGGGGTAGTCAAGCTTTGCAGGGCTCTGGAAGAAGGAGAAAATTATCTTGATTTTTCAGCTGAAGAAACGGAAACCTATAGCAAAAGGTCCTGGAAAATATGTCAGTGCTAGAGGTGAAGGATGGGGTTAGCGGGATGCTGACGAGGGATGTTTTTCAGGTGGTTGTGCTTTGCAGCTGCCAAGGTGCAAGCAGCGTGTCATCAGCCAGCCATGCCGGCATCGGGCACAGAATCCACAACCCCACCCTGCTTACTGCCTCTGCGCCCAGCAGCATCACCTCCCCTTGGCCGAGGTATAAAAGCGTACCTCTGCAGCTGGTGAAAGCTCTCTGCAGAGCCTTGGGTGCACCTCCCCGCCGCACTGGCCGTGCCTGGGTTCAAGAAAACTTGTATAGGATTATCTTCCTTTTCTCGCATAAGCCAAAGCACCAAAGAATACCTAAATACCTCGCAGTGGGTCTCTACTAAATTTATACTGAGCTGGTCTACTTGAACTGCTGGTTTGCAGGACACAATTACTTGTTGTAAGCTTTTATCATTTAGCAGAGCTTGAAATAGTACCCAGAAATAGCAGTTCCCAATAGCTGTCTTAAAAGCCACACCAGCCTCCTGGCCAGTCCAGAAACTCATCCTTGTCCCTTTCCCAAGCAAATGTACCGGGATAGTCTTGCGAGACTGTTGTAAAATTCTCATGATGAATGCTGCACTTGGAGAAGAAATCTTCCTAAAACCATCTTCTAAGTAGGAACAAGGTGACACCATGTCTAGTTCTTAAATGCTGTGTCTCATGACTGGGTTAATATTTGGATGTGAGTGGCCTGAGTTTTACAAAGGCTGGAGCGGCTGAGCCCGGGAGGGAGCTCTGCGGGGCTGAGGGAAGGGGAGCAAAATCAATGAAGCCTGCTACGCTACTATTATGATGCCATCTACTGAAACCACCTTGAACTTCATGAAATTTTCCCCTACAAAGTAGTTCTATAGATACATTTGCACCAAACAGAAGCATTTTCAGTGGGCAAGGGGTTTAAACTATTGACATTGCAGTGAGTAGGACTAGGATGGCAATGACAAGTGATCAGCCACTCGCTCGTTTATTTGGTTATTGACAGGCTGGATGCTTTGGAAACCTGCAGGGCCTTCCCCTTCCTCACCCTTTTGATGTGGCTTTTTGTCTAATCTTTGCATACAGCTCCCCTCAGAAATTTGGAAGTGTCAATAACAAGCCGTAAATGGAACGCTTCCCAACAACCACTGCAGCTTCCTTCCCTCCGCTGCTCTGAAAGATTAAAAATCAGGTTTTCTGTTTGATAAGGCCAAGAATCAGTCTCCAGGACAGAGTATTGTTTTTTTTTTTTTCACAGGAATTAAATTGTTTGACAGCAGGATGTACCATTTGAATCTGTTCTGTAGTGGAAAGTGATGAAAAGTGTGAATTTTTTTTTTTTTTTTAAATTCATATTAAAACCGCTCAAATTTTGACGTGCATCAGAATGGAAGTTTAATTTAATTTTTATGAACCATATACTGCTTTGAGCAAAGCTTTTTATTGGGGATTTGTGTGGCAGGTTTGGACCTGACAGTAGTTAGATGAAAGTAGCGTCTACAAACAGGGTTGCGCTCATCCAGGGCTTCGAGTAAGACACTCTTCGAAGTTAATGTTTCTGATTTTGGGTGGTTGATGGAGTTAGACAGTAAGCCTTTTAGTCTACACAGAAATGGGATGAGGGAGTCTTTGAATTAAGGAAGTATATAAGGAGATGCTGAATACTCAGATAATTCAGGTATTAAGCTGGATGTATTTTTTAGAACTCCTCAGGTATATTGTGGTCCCTTGGAATCATTGTTTGTGAAATGAAAATGGAGAACAGAAGTCTTTCAAAGCCTTTATAACAATTACATCTAAGAGACACAGCCTCACAACAACTGCTGTAATACAGTCATGTTCAAAATTAAATAGTCCAGCCTCCGGTGTCTTACTGAGTCCTAAAGCCTAGAGACACCAAAAGCAATAAAACCACTTCCAGAGGAAAACCACGGCTAACATATACAGGCGTTTTAGCTGGTTAGCTGCACCTGCCCTTTCTATTGCCATACAAATGGCTATCTGAATTTCAGTGTGAGAAATGTTAGGGGCTTTCAAATTATCCACAATCGTGCCAATTTAAAATTTTTTAAATCACCTTGCCTTCTGTGAGGAGCCAATCTCTGTTCCCATGGAAACAGAAACGGCAGCCTCCGAGCATCCAGCTTGATTTGTTACAACTCCTCTGAATCCATCTATGGCTGCTGGCTGAAAGCTGATTGAGTGCGCTCCAGCCCCTACGACACCAGCCCTGTTCAGCAATGAAACACGCTCCCTTTCCTTCTTTTAGAAGGAACTATTTGAAGATCCTTCCAAAGCACTGTTTCACAGTGCAAGACAGTCTTACTGGCATTTTGTTACAGGAAAAGTGACAACTAACATAAAGATTAATTGCACAGACTACGTTCTTAAACAGCATCTAGCCTTTCGTAGCGGTTTCCAATAGAGCCCTTCGCTGAAAGGTGGGCCAAGTCCCTGATGCTTTACCCAAGAGGAAGATAATCATAGTCTTCACCATAATTATGAAGAACATGAATGGACTTCCTCTAAAATTATTATCATTATACTCTGTATATCCTAAAATTATCGTTCATATTACAGAAATGTGGGGTCTTTTTGTGCTTGGTATGTGTTTAAACATCATTAGCTACCATCCTTACCCCTGAAAGTGTTTCAAGGACGAAAAAAGGAGAAGAGAAACTGTGGGAAAGAGCCATGTCGTGGGAGGCTTGATTAACATAACAGTATCTGGTAGTTCTCTGAAGTATAACCACTTTGTGAAAGAGAAAATGAAAAGATGTAGGTTTCCATCTCCCCTTCTTGTCATAACTTCAGGTACCTGCAGAAAGATGTTTTTTTACTTCTCTGACATCTTTTGTATGTTTTACCGACACACTTGCTTTCTCCATCACATTAACTCAAAGGAAATCACTCTTCATTTGCAAGTATTGCATATTCATTAGCCAAGTAGACAATGCTTGCAATGCTGGAGAGGTTTCCACTTCTCAGAAAGGACTCTGAATACTGCAATTCTGGGAAGAAAGCAGGGTATCTGTTTTACACAGACTTAACACAAGCGCTCTTTTTTGTTTG